GAGACTGAGGCAGGAGAATCACTTGGAGGCAGAGGTTGCAGTGTTGCACTCCCGCCTGGGCGATGGAGCAAGACTCCTTCTCAAAAAAAAAAAAAGCCGGGTATGGTGGCTCACACCTGTAATCCTAGCACTTTGGGAGGCCAAGGTGGATGGATCACCTGAGGTCAGGAGTTCAAGACCAGCCTGGCCATCATGGAGAAACCCCATCTTTAAAAAGAAAAAAAAAAAAAAAAAAAAAGTGATCCATTGCATGTTGATTTAAGCAAGATATCTCATGAAGCCTCTTCTGCATTTTTGAAAACCATGTCCTGTATTATGGTGCTTAAAACACCAGTGGAAACATTTGTGTCATGGTGGTTCGTATTTCCTGCGCAGGTTCTTCATGAGGTGCCAGAGATACAGAAATACATGTGTGAGTCTCCTTTCACACACGCACAGGTGGCTCTACAGGCAGGAGCTCTGCATGCTAACACATGCCTCCCTGGTGCCTAGAGTGGTGCTCGGCCTTTGCATGGTGGCGCAGGGACAGACAGATTGATGTATACAGAGAAAGGCTGAATCCACCTTCTTAGGAATCCATCGGAAGTTTATTGTTTGCAGCTCCAGACGGGGTCTCCTGAGGACGCAAAGGGAGCACCAGCCTGGGCCTGCCCACGGGGCACCTAACTTCTAAGAGGAGGAGGGTTGGAATGAGCCCACAAATAACAATCCTTTTCCCTTTTTTGAAGCTAGGGTCTTGCTCTGTTGCCAAGACTGGAGTGCAGTAGCACAAACACAGCTCACCACAGGCTCAACGTCACTGGCTCAGGTAATCTTCCTGCGTCAGCCTCTTTGGTAGCTGGGGCTGTAGGCACATGCCACCACGCCTGGCTGATTAAACTTTTTTTTTTTTAATTTAATTTTTTTTAAAGATGGGGTTTCACCATGATGGCCAGGCTGGTCTTGAATTCCTGACCTCAGGTGATCCGCTCACCTTGGCCTCCCAAAGTGCTAGGATTACAGGTGTGAGCCACTGCACCCAGCCAACGTTTTTTTTTTTACATTAATTAAATCCAGATTGGATTAATCCTCTTCTATGTAATTCAATTTATTTATCTTGAGATCTTCTACATGAAGTTTACCTTGTTGAATT